CAATAGTATGGGAATTCTGTGTAGCGATTGCGACGATACTGAACAACAACACAACTGTTTCTCCCGACACGACAGTTACGCTCTGGCGCCACCCTTTACGGGATACGAGCCCAACCGAGGCGCCGGCTATGCGCTCCAACAAATCAAGAAAGCGGGCATTCGCAACATTGTCATGATTCTGAGTGCGCCTCATGCCCAATTGCCCGCCATTGCCGACCATGCGGCCGAATTGGGAATGCTGGACGACAGCAATAGTGGCAAGTACGTCTGGGTATTGGCGGCCGAACGGACGCAACAGCTCAGTGACATTAGACGGGTCGCCGCTTTGAACCACAACATGTCGACATTACTCCAAGGCATGGCCACTCTGGTTCCTTTGGATGGATTCTTGTATTCCAACTCGACAGAAGAAGATGATCGATTCTTGCAAGCCTGGAAACAACAAAATGCCTCCTTTGTCGATCGAGTCAATGCGGCGTTGCCCATTCCACCCAATCAAACGGGATACTATCGGGCGCCGCCGGATTATTTTCAAACGCACATGCCCATGCCGGGAGCGGGATTCTTGTACGATGCCATTATGACCGTGGCGTTGGGGAAATGTGCCGTGATACACAAACAACAGCAAGCACCCAAAGGAGATCGTGGGCCCCGGTCGGATGGCAGCGGTGGTCCTCCACCTGAAGGTGGTCCTCCACCTGACGGCAGTGGCCCTCCGCCTGATGGAAGCGGTCCTCCCCCTGACGGCAATGGCCCTCCGCCTGATGGAAGCGGTCCACCGCCGGATGGTGGTCCTCCACCGGATGGCAGTGGTGGTCCTCCTCCAGAAGGCAGTGATGGGCCTCCACCTGAAGAAGGTAGTGGTGTTCCTCCGCCTGATGGAAGTGGTAATAGTTACTGGGAGCGTCCAACAACAACAAATGGCGATGGAAGTGGGCAACGAAAACGACGAACACTCCTCAAAGGGGTTCGACAACAAAAGTCTCACGACCAACTGGAACAGCAATCACAACAATCACCAAAACAGAGGCGACTCCAGTCCCCCCCAAAGAAAAAGAAAAAGAAATCCACCAACAATCCGCTCCGATTGGCCATTAAAGAGCTAGACTTTGAGGGGGCCACGGGACGAGTGCGATTCGTCGACCAGGGGGAATACCCAGGAAACCGAGACACCGCCACTGTCGTCTTTGGAACCTACAATTTTCGAACCAACAACGGCAATGAGTCCACGTACCATCTGACCGACATTCATCACGGTCTGCCGGACGAAACGGGGGAATGGGTGGATGGACCCGACGCTCCTTTTATCTACTCGAATGGTCTATCGACGCCACCCGTGTTGAATCGAGACTTGCCAGAACAAAACTATCTGCAAAAGGGAGTCCACGTGACGGGCTTGTTCTTTTTGGCCGTGGCGTTGTTGGCAGCACTGGCGTCGGCGGCATTGGTCATTGTCAAGGCCGATGCAGGGCCCATTCGACAGTCTCAACCACCCTTTTTGCTACTGTTGATCCTGGGAGCCACCATCATGTCCTTTGCGATACTCACGTCGGCATTTGATGAATCGTATGGATGGACCGATTCCATGTTGGATGCGGCCTGCACGGCGACTCCTTGGCTGGTATTTGCCGGATACAATATTATCTATCTGGCGTTGTTTTCCAAGCTCTTGCGCATCAACAAGGTCATGCAGTTTCGTCGCGTACAAGTCACCGTGACCAAAGTGCTGATTCCCTTTGTGGTCAACATGCTCTTGACAGTAGCGATTCTCATTGCTTGGTCTGCGGCAGACCCCAGACAATGGGTACGCTCGATCATTGATGAAGACACTGCCGAATCCTACGGGAAATGCCAAAGCAACAATTCGCTTCCATATCTGATTCCATTGATCTGTCTCATCGCCCTGTCCACCATTGGGTGCGGTGTCATGGCATACAAATGCCGTGATATCGAGGAACGATTCTCGGATTCCAACTACATTTTTTACACCATTTTTGTACAGATTCAAGTCCTGCTTGTGGGGATCCCAATTTTGGTTATTCTGGACGACGCTTCTGCCAACGCGGCGTATCTCGGACGGTCCCTTTTGATCTTTGTGATTGTCATGACGACGCTGCTGTTGATGGTTGCTCCCAAAGGCATGCGGATATGTTTTGAGAGTGCTGAACAAAAGACATCGTTCCGGACGGCAGGAAGTGGGAAGGTCAACGTCAGCAACTTCAACGTTTCTTCCACTGCTAGCAGTAAGTCGAAAGAACTGGCAATCGCCAGGGGAGAGTTCGAAGAGATTGCGAAGGAACATGCCGCAGAAGATTGCTTCAAGGACGATCGCGAATCCGAGTCCGCCCTTTTCAGCAATGAGTTTGTCGCAGAGCTTGCCGCAGAAGAAGCAGGGGTCGTCTTTGGTGACAAGGTACTTGGAAAGTAGCCAACGCACGCAAGACACCTAGAGAAGCTAGTGTGTTGACAGCAAGTGAGATTGAAAGTCCAGAGCAACCAACCCAGCTCCACGGATGAAAACCTCGTCAAGCCACCCTACGTTACCGGCTTGCAAGTAGGCACGTTGCTTCACAGATGCCTCTCCAGTTAGCAGCCAGACCCAAGCTTCTGGCTTGTATTGACGAAGGGCAGCTCCCGCAACGTTCAATGAGCCCAGAAAACTTGGAAGCCACTTGCCACCCATGCATTAGTCGAGATTATAGTCTAGTAAAATCCTGGTGTGTCCCTTTCTCCTTGTGTACCGTACTTGTGTACAGTACATGTTGCTGGTCAACCAGTCAAAGGAGCCCACCCTGTTTGTGGTATGAATCGCTCTGAACAATGGCCCCTCTGGGAGCTCTCCTGGCACTATTGCCATTCTTTTCTTTTCATTTACAGAATTGCTTGGTACTGCAACCACAAAAGCAGTCGTCCCAATGAACCTACCACCCGCATGCGCAGTATTCCATACGGCGCTCACACGTAAAAGTACTGCAATCCACACAGATTTCATGCTTGCGGCAGTTGCCACAGAAATGCTGCTCACAACCGCGACAGAAATTGCATCGTTCACATTCCTTGCACACAAACTCATCACAATCGGCACAAGATCCAATGCAGCAAATCTCGCAATGAAGTTTTCCGCATCGTTCGCAACAATACCCACCATCTTCTTGAATACGGAGCTCACATCCAAGAGGCTCACCGCAAGGAGAGCAATTTACAAGCTTTCGGCAAGTGCGACAAAAACTCTCCTGACAACGCTGACAGAAATCGCGTGTTTCACAATTATTGCACGCAAACTCACGGCAGTCGTACGGTAGCAGTATTCAATCACAGCAAGATCATTGTAAACACAGGAATAGCACGCCGTCTTGTGGCATCCAGACTTGTGGCAGTGCATCGCATACTCATTATGCACAAATTTCTCGCAAAAAACGCAACGACAATACTTTTCGTCATAGTCAAGATGGACGCAGTCTGCGCACTCTTTCCGATTTTTCTTGGGGTCGTCATTGCCGTCGTCGCGACCGTCTTCAATGATTTCGATTTCGAAGTTCTCTAGACTACTAGAAGCTCTTCATGCAGAGCCTGTTGACACTCCAGTTTTCGTCCATGTTGAACGCAGTAACACTTTTTCAAGTCAAACTCCTTCAAAAATTGAGGGATTTGCATGCATCTGAAAACAGAGGCATGATCCAAAAAGCTGAGTATTTCTTTCTTCGGCCATCAAGGAACTTGCCATTCCAGAAGTAAGCAGCGCACTCGCTCCAGTGACAGTTCCGGATGCAGATCCTGATGCAGATCCAGATGCGGCAAGAGCGCTGCTGCCAATGCCACCCTTGTTGTTCCTTTTCTTGTACGATGTACTGTACTGCATGGCTGCCAAAAGAGCGGTGTCGTGCCTCGGACGTGAAAGAAGCTCTCCACCAAAGTTGTGCACGAACGATTGCCGAAAAGATTGAATCGAATCATTGCTTGCCGAAAAGATTCACGAGGCGGTTCGAACACGGTAAAGGTCTTGATTCGATTCACTAACGGATCATGACTGCGAAAGCCAAAGATCCAATATCTTTGCCCTTGAAAATGGCCGTCCTTCGAGAAATTCTCAATCCCAAAGCTCAAATCTCAAAGATCTCACAATGATGGCCTGATTGCCTCAACAATGTCATCTTCCCACCTCCATGTCCGTCGAAAGAAGCACCATCATGCCACTTCCAATGTTCCACCACAACCACCACCCACTATCCTACACGATGGTGTACCAAAGAGTACGAATCATGGACGGCGAAATCAAGGTTGGATCGTTGCACTGATCAGCGTGGTCGTTGCCTGGATGCTGCTATCCACCCGAATCCTACTACCTCCAAAAGAAGAAGAAGAGACGCCACTGGCGACGAGTGACTTTGCGTTGGACACGGATACTCGTGATAGGGGAACATCATCACCTTGCCAAATGAAACCAACTCGGTTTCGAACCAACAATCTGGTCAATCCTCTGGCGTTGGAAGACGAACAGCCCGTGTTCTCGTGGGCGTTGGCGCTGCACGACGACAGCTCTACTACTTCATCAACAAGCCACTATCAATCTGCCTATCGCATCCGTTGCATCCTACAACAATCTCCTTCTTCCCAAGAAGAAATATTGTGGGACAGTGGAAAGATCCAGAGCCAAGAGACGCTCCAGATTGAATTCGCGGGAAAGCCTCTGCAATCGATTCAACGAGTTCAGTGGCAAGTCCAAGTATGGGATCAACACGATCAAGAGTGTTCTACCAATAATGGACAAGAGCCATGGCCTTTTTTCGAGACGGGATTACTCGACGAAGCAGCTTGGCAACATGCTCCTTGGATTGCTCGCTATCCTCCCCACATTGCAGCTAAAAGCACAAGAGCCAATGCCCGTCTCTGCGATATGATGGCCGAGACGCCAGAGAATCAGGCTCCTCGGTTTCGGACCACACTACAAGGAATTGAGGAGGAGTATGCAGAGATTCGAGCCTATATTGTGGGCTTGGGATACTATCAGCTCTACATGAATGGACAACGAGTCGGTGATTCCCTCCTCGATCCAGGTTGGACCACCTACTCCAAGCGAGTGTTTTACAGTGCCTATAATGTCACGGCGCACTTTCGTCGTCAATCATCTGTTGCTAGTATTGCCGTGGAGTTGGGAAATGGATGGTGGAATCCCCTTCCGCTGAATCTGTGGGACAATCCCAAACTCAATTTGCGCCGCAATCTCGTACAAGGCTTTGACAACACGCAACCCATCTTTCGATTGCAACTCTTTGGATGGACACGGGATGGAAGAGTGAGATCTCTTTTGGGGGATGATAACAACCACATTCGTCCATGGAGAGCCAGTGGGTCTCCCACTACCTTTAACAATATCTTTTTGGGCGAAGTGTACGATGCTCGATTGGAACACCTTTACGAGGGTTGGACGACCTTGCAATACCACAATCATCATGTTTGGGAACGAGCCGCGGGGCTTCCAGCCCCAACCTTGTTGGGCAAGTTGCAAGCCCAACCGATCCCACCCATTCGACGACAACGAACCTTACAAACGACTTTACTCTCGACCAGTCCAGGTCAGAACAACACCAATGTGCTGCTCCTAGATACAGGAGTAAATCATGCCGGGAGCTGTCGCATTCAACTACTGCAAGGAGGAAATACCTACATGTTCCAAGAGTTGGTGGGACAACAAATTCAATTGCTCTACGGAGAACTCCTGCACAAGAATGGGACGATCAATGGAAGAACCTCTGTGGTTGGACAGCTCAAAAAACGCTCCGAAACCAAGTGTCAACCGGATATTGCGTATCAGCAAGATATTATTACGCTCGGTGACAAGCCTCTGGATTGGACTCCTTCTTGGTCATGGCATGGCTTTCGCTATATCCAAGTGACATTGCCAGCGGCCATTCATTATTCAAAACATTTCCAAGTGGACTGTTTTACCATGAGGACCGACGTGGACGTCATTGTCTCGAATTTCACGAGCAGCGATCCTTGGCTAGACGAATTGCGAACCTTGGTGCGCAATACCTTTGAATCCAATTTAATGAGTGTCGAGAGTGATTGTCCCCATCGAGAGAGATTCCAATACGGTGGCGACCAGCTGGGGGCGGGGGAGGCTGGAATGTCCATTTACGATTGGTCCAGTTTTCTACGAAAACGGGTATTGGATTACAACGATGCCCAGCGTCGAGACGACAACAACAAACTGACAGGCTTTACGGAAACCGCGCCCTATGTTGGCATTGCCGACAAGGGTCTTGGCTTTGGAACTGGGCCGATTGGATGGCAGACGTTTCAGCCAGAAGCGTTGCTTTGGTTGTACAAGTACTATGGGGATATCAAGACTTTGAGAGAGAGTTTTCCCCACACACAGGCATACATTGATTTGCTAGACAATCACCAGACAGATGGAATTCAGAATGGTTTGGGAGATTGGATGCCGGTTCATGTGACCGATGTCAATTTTACTGGTTTGGGCTTTCAGAGAATGTCATATTTGGCCTTTGCCAACATTACCGAAATCCTGGGCATGTCTCCGGGCATTGCTACGCGATACAGGATGAAGGCAGCAAATGTTGCAGATCAAATCAACAAAAGGTTCTTGCAAAAGGCTGGTATTACATTTGACAGGATTCTTAGCTTTCTGGGGTTTGGTGGAGCTGGAATGACCGGGGTCTATCGTGTTGAAACTGTGGGCCAGGGTGAAGCAATTAAACGGACTGGTAAAGCCACACAAACGGGCCAAGCAATGGCCCTGTTCAATGGTTTCGTTGAATCCAACCAGGATCTTAAAAGGCATGTCCTGCTTCAACTTGAGAAGAACGTACGGGAATCGTCCTATATCGAGAAGGCTTGCCAATGCGACAACACATCCTCCTTTGAGCCCGAATGTTCCGAAGCACGTGGAGGGCCTGGCCCGCATATGACAGCAGGGCTCTTCGGAGTAAAGTGGTTCCTCATGGCATTGGCAGATGGCGGGCTGAACGATTTGGCTTATGATGTTGTGACCACCAAGTCCTATCCTGGGCTTCGCTGGATGACCAACAACCCCTTTTCGAACGCGACAACCATTTGGGAGAGTTTCTTTTTCTCAGACGACACGTACTCTCACAATCACCCCATGTTTGGCTCCACGGAGGTCTGGCTTCTACAATCTGTGGTAGGAATCCAGCCCCATCCTTCCGCTCGTGGCATGAACCATGTACTCATACGGCCCAACCCACCCTCTCAACTGAAGCATGCCTCCGCTTCCTTTGAAAGCCCAAGAGGCACAATCTTCGTCTCCTGGAAAAGGGATACGCATGAGTCCTTCCAGCTTGAAGTATCAATTCCTCCCAACTGCCATGCCACCGTCCATGTTCCAGCGTCGGAGAGAGCAACGGTTACACAGAATGGCAGAGAGGCTGCTGGTCGATGGGTCCCTACTTTGGCGTCATCCGATCGTGGGTCGTTTGTTGTGGACCGAGTTGGCAACGGGCGTCATGAATTTGACTCTAGAATTCGAGAGAGCAGAACAAGCTAGCAATAACTTTGTGGGCGGAGCCCCAAGCTTGGCGCCGCGGTGGTTGTTCAATGCTCTTGAAAACGCCTGCACGTTTGTGGATTTTCTGCTGCCAAGGTGCGGACCCCAGAGGTGCAGAGATTTTGCCACCAGGGTGCGGAGCCTAGAGGTTTTGAGATTTTACCTCCGAGGTGCTGCCCATAGAGATGCGATTGTTTCCGATGAGGTGCGGACCGAACAGATGCAGACCTTTGGCGCCCTACCGGTACCGGTGGAGGCGCGGGTTCCAACATAGAGCTGCAGATTTTCTGTCGGCAGACTTGGTTGTTCAGTTGCTTGGCCTTGGAAACTCATACGTTTCAAATGTACGTGCACCTGATAACAGTGGCTAGAACATGCATCTCCGTGCAATCATGAGAGGACGAAAGGGCCCGACCTCAAGGTTTACAAGCGGAAACATAACTTGTCAAAATCCTGCGTAAGAGACAGCATATCTCATCCATTCCAGGTTCCAAGATCTGGTTACAGACCGAATTGACTTTCGAGACGTCAGATGAGTGGCAGCCTCAGGAATTGAAACGTCAGGGAGTGCAGCTTTTTTTTTTGAAGTCGAGCACAGAGAGAAGAATTGGAAAAAATGAAGAATACTAAAATTCACTAGCATCATGTACAGGTTCAAGAAGACTATTCCCCGGGGAAACGTTGGTTGGTCTATGCGCAGGTCTTCAAGGCTGCAGCATTGTCCGTGATGTATCAATCTATAACTGTTTGCATGGATATCCGTCTCAATAGGTCCTGACTATTCCCAGGTTTCTTATCTGAGAAAAGTTCTGCCTCTGTACCGGTAGCGGGCAAGTAGATTGCCTGCTCGTGTTTTTAAAGTTGCTGTGTCGTACAGCTTGTGTAACCTGAGGATGCATGCATTAGTACAGCCCCGAAACCCAAACGGTGAGTGAACTGTTTATAAGCACAGTGGAGCGACACTCACTCGAATTCAAATTTTCCAACACTTACCCGGTAACGCAAACCCTCCCGTGAATCCTGCAGTCATCTCCACGAGCCACGTTGGGTCTTCGCAGTCAATGAAACCCACCTGGAGAGAAAACGGTGTCACGGAAAGAAGGGGGATCATTTGCTTGCAACCCTCGAGGAGATCTTGCGCCGTGTTGGTAAAGGCGACCCCCAGCAATCCTGAAATTCCAGCTTCGGCGCCCAGGATGAAGCCGAAGCAATTGTTCAAGACGGCAATCTGTTCCGTATCGGCTGGTCCTTGGCTGAATAGATAGGTAGGTAGGAAGGGGGGAAGGTAGCAAAAACAAAACAAAGGATGGGCGAGGAAGAATACCCGGCAATACACTCATAGCGATATTTAAAGATAGATATACTTACGCCAACAAAACATCACCTTCGTAGGTTGCAATAGCTCCCGCCTCCCAGCTAGCTCCATAGTACAGAGTGGTATCATTATTTGCTTGTCTTTTTGTGGACTGTGTATTGCAATAGACCAACTCGTTTTGCACGGCTTGCAATGGCGGCGGATTATCCTTGATGACATTCAAGAACCTGCCCATGTCCGTGGAGTTACCGTCCATCACATCCAAGCGTTCCGCCCCGGGAAAGGGTTTAAACATGGGACTGTTGCGCTCGACTCCCGATAGATTCATCATGGCTTCCCCATAGGACGCCAAATCAAAGCCTTCCTTTTCAAAGGCCGTCAAAACCGCGTTAAGGACACACGTGTGGGGGAAACATTTCTTTCGAATGGGTAAGGGGATGCATTCCATTCCGTCGACACAGGGATTGCTGTTCCCGCAAACCTCTCCAAGCTGCTTGAGTGGCCCATTGCTGCTGGTGCCTTGTGCTACAAGCGCATCATCGGAAGCAGAGACACTACTGAGGGCTCCGAGCCAAAGAAATGGCAAAGTGAGAAAGATACTTTTCATCATCCTGGTTTGAAGTCTTTACAAAAGTATACACCAGTTAGTAGATGATACTTTTCCCGGGTCTGTATGATTCCAATAGAGTGAGAAAATCAACCTTCGGAATGATAGTGTTTCAAATCCTTGCGCTCTAGCTAGACTCTCCTCCGAGCGTTTGTCCAAATTGGCGTGAACAGAACGCTCATGCAAGCGGAAGTGAAAGCGCCAGTGAGGCCCAGATTTCTGCCGTTTCCAACTGAATGAATGCCCTGCCAACAGAACACAATCTCACTGAGGATCCGAGCCGACAGTGTATCGCTGGATCGACCAACCAGGTAGCCAAGCCAAGATAGATGAGTGAACCTCGAGGTGCGCCCGATCCCAGCCAACCGTTCGACCCGCGTGACACATGGTTGACAGAACCTGGATGGCAAGCCACCATCTAATTACTAAATCAAGGATGCCGTTTGTCTTGGTTTATTAGACAATTTGGATGATGTTTTAACGTCCAACGATGATATCGTAACGTTCAACGATGCATTTGATATTCATTCGGAAGGATTACTTACATCGAACAAATCGGCACCACATTCATTTTTCTGTAATTTCAGAGGACATCCAAAGAAAGCTCAATCGAAGAAGGAAAAGCCAGAGACCATGAGGGTGCTAACACTGTTGATGCTGCTTCTGGCAATCTATGCTACAGTAGCATACGAGGAACCATTCGATGACGACGAAGATGATAATACCGATGGCGAACTAGACCCTGATGACGATACCCCAAGACAAACAGGCGACCGATGTGGAAGAAGCAACGCTTGTGCGCAGGGCCTCGACTGCATCCGTTCTCCCGTTTTGCGACGATGCTTTCCCATAAACTGTGGTGTGGATGCCATTCGAACTGCTATGGATCAGACTGGATTTGACTTGGCATCCTATGGACGCAAGATCATGGCAGAGGCGGGGGTAGAAAAAGACAATCTACCATTCAAACGATTTCCGGATCCATTCAACATTAATCTTTTTGACAGAGATAATCGTGAAGAGGATATTCAAGCACTGGCCGCAGCCATTGAAGAGAATGAGCCTCCAATCGATCTGATTCTCCAAGGATTCAACAACTGCACGGGTGGTGGGGAAACAACCGACGGCGAGGCAACGGTGGCGGGTGTCACACCCTACTTTGGAGCTAGTTGGGAGTTAGGAGCTGGACCGACGTACAATGCAGATATTTTTTGGGGGTGAGTGAGAAAGCAAGCGCCGACGAAAATATTTCGTGCTCAAATCGACCTTCGCTGTTCTGAATATTAGAATGCGTCAACTCACCCCGTGTGTTTGGATTCTCCTCGCGTTGCATGCATGCAGACAAGGAACCGCAGATGCCGTTGGCCTTGGTATTCTGAACAATTGCTTTGGTATCGTCCTAGGAGTTGATGCAGGTATTGCAGGGTTGATTGGTCTGGCCTTTACAGGCACTATTCAAGATCTAGCAGTTGGCTGCAAGCAAGCTTTTCCCGTAGCAAGTTTCCCGCCGTTTGATCTTCAGCTTGGAGTTATTTTGAGTGAGAGCCCTACGTTCCTGATGGAATTTACCGGTGGAGCATCTGCAAGTACTGGATTGCCCGGTTATACAACGTGTACAACAACAGTTCTCTAGCTAGCTTCATTGTGGGAGCATGGTTGGAGCATGGCCTGCAAGAGCAGAAAGAGTCCTGGATAGATGTTTCATACGGTATAACCCACCCTACCGTACTACTAGCTAGACCTTTGTCATCCCATTGAACAGCTATCGCCTCACTGAAGGTAGACGCTAGACTCTCTTCCCAGCGGTATCCAGGCCAGTGCCTATGCTATGGTAGCAGATAGTGCATGTACCCGTACAAATTCCTGCTGCCCAAATGGACTTGCTGGCAAGGATCTGGTATGGTAGGGATAAAGTTTTTTCCCAAGGAAAGGGTAACCGACAGCCAGGGTGACATGAGCGAGCAGCATGATGCGTTGGCTTGACAATGAAGGTCACGCAAAGAACAGGGGCTCTCCCAATTTCTCGGACCCAATTTCTCGGAAAGTTCCACTGTGCGCTGAAACGCCAAATCAAAAGGTGCCCGTTGACGCGCCAAGATTTCGTTCATCAGTTCTTTCGCTGCTTGTACACCTTGATGCAGTGTACAAACCGTTGTTAGCACATACTATCATTTTTTGCTATGCTTTCTCTGTGCCATACTAGTAGAGGATTTAGTAACATGGCTTCGAGGCGAAATGGTTAGCACAAAAATCGAGTATGAAACTTTGCCCTCCCCCAGAGAAGCCATGAAGATCTCTTCAGCCCTCGTTTTGGTGGCCTCCTTGGTGCTCGCAGCTGATGCTACGCCCACGGAATACTCTAGATTGCGCGGGCTTAGATCTCTGCAAGAGGATGATTTCGAGGGGGGAGGCCACGGAGGAGGAGGGGGCTATCGGCGTCCCAGCGCTTCACCAAGTGCCATCCCCAG